CTCATCAGAGTTGCTCTCTAAATTGTATTGGGCTTTTATTGTGTAAATTAAATAGTTCAACACTGAATACCACATAATTGTTTTGCAGCTTGATAATGGTATAATTATGACACCTGATACTATGTAACATGATAATCTTACGATGTTTGATTCAGCAAAATACCTTGGAATAATGGTATGCGTGAAATTGAGTGAAGCTTAACTCCTTGTGGTAAAGCATAGACTTCAGTGTGATTAAATATAAACATATGCTTGAAGTTTTCTCTGACTTGGGCAGAGGCTGGAGGAAATACCTATGGTATTTTCTGGTATATTCTCTACTTTCACCTTAGAGAAGGAACTCCTACTCGATGCAATAAATTTTGTATATGAAACCCAAAGGATATACAAGTAGCTTAACTGCCTTTGTGACTGTAGAATTTCTGTTCATCACAGGTACAGAAAGCCCAGTGAACCCCAAGTGTTACCTCTCTAAAACCCTTACCTGTGTTACTAGTACTTTGTACTTTGGAGTTCCCTACATAAACCCTTATTTACAATATGTCTTGGTAGAAATGACTTGTGGGGAAGTAAAATTGCATTCTGAATGTGAAACAAATCTGTCCATGCGCATCAAATTTGTGGAACCTGCTCGTAGCGTAACTGTGCATTACAAGTATGCTCTCAGTTCATCTAAGATCTCTAATATAAATGCAGATGTACAAGTAAATTATGTTTTGGTTTTGTTCTGTTTTAAAATGTTCACCAAGGCAAAGCCTTTAAGGAGGTCTTGTTTTCCTACTTGCCAGTTCGGGGGAGGCTTGATTTATACAGCTGACAAAATGCAGACATTCAAATTTAGTTAAAACCTGGCTGCATTACATTAGTGCAATTCCTTTGGGTACATGCTCGTGTTGAAGATGATGAACTATGTCATATTGAATTATCCCATAAAGTAGGCATGCAACAGAAAGCTGCATCTAAACACGTTACCTCTTGTCACGTGCACTGTAATAAATGACTGTGTAAATGTTCTTAGTGAATCCTAATTGTGACATACAGCATTTGCGTTGTTTAAACTGTCTTCAAACTGGTATCAGAGAATACATGTGCAGATGCAAACGAAGCCATCACTGTGACTCAAAACACTGTAATTTCTGCCATTAAGAAGAACAGGGAGGTCGCTGACACCATTATTTTTGTTATTTTGAAAGCAAATGCTCAAAAGCAACCAGGACTTTGGGAAAAACAGATGTTCAGTTCAGATGGGTGGTCACTGATAAGAATGATGAATATGAGGTAATGAGACTGCATTTGAGAGAGCCCAAGAATGAGTGAAACTTCTTTAGAGATTATTGTAAGTCTGAGAATCATTTTACTGAAGTACCAGAAATGAGCCTGCCTCTCTTCATGAGAAAGAAAGGACTTTGGGTGTCTGAAGGAGAGCTTTGGGTGTCTGAAGGAGAAGCAACAATTGTGCATCCTCACACCAAATCCAGACTTGCTGGAAGGTTTGAAGTGCAAACTGAGTGTGGCTATTTACCATCATCATGGTTTATTTAAAGCACATGCTCTCAGAGAGACAGAAAGTTTTGACATCCTCCTTATTCTTCTGGATGACAGGACTTAGCAAAATACTACAAGGAGATAATGAGCCAAGCTACAAATAGTTTATTATAGGATGACTGTAGTGGAGTTTTTGTCCTGTGACAGGAGATGAGATTTTGAAGATCAGCCTAGAATCTCTCTATTTTCAGCACCTATTAATGAAGATATTCACCACACAAAGAAAACCCCTGAAACAGTCTTGAGTGCACATCCTAGCTTTCAGCTGTGTCTGTACTCCCTGCTTATTTAGGGAATTGTCTTTTGCAGGGTGAGGGAGTTGAGTTGGCAACTGTGAAAAAGAGAGGGAATGCTGTATTGATGGGTGACAGTGAGACTGTATGGCTTTCATTAGCGGAACAGATGATTCAAGTGGCCATCAATACTTAGAACAAAATCAACACTGAAAAATCGATCTTGTACTTTGCCAGCTAGTGTCAATAACTAAAAATCCTGGGGCAAACTTTTTTTAGCAGTTCAGAGTTTGAAGTAATAGTTTTCAAATCATTTACTCAATGCTGACACAGCTGCGTCATTCTGATGGACTCCAGCGCACTTTCCAAGGCGCTACCAGTTTCTCACTGTCATTCAGTGTCTGATTCATCACGTCAGATGGGCTTGCTTAATTTTGGCCATTGTTTCCCTGCTTGTAAAATGGATGTGACCATCATCTGCTGGTTGTGGTATCTGTCTGCCTCACTTGAGCCATTGTGCGGGTCAGTCCGTGTCCGTGCCGTACACCACAGCTGAATGGGAAACAATGGAGCCTGCAAGTGCCAGCGACAACGTGCTCCCAGTTGGGTAGTGTTGAGAGAGAGACTTTGTGTGTGCATCCCTCCCTTCCTCTAGGGGTTTGGATATGGTCACAGTATCATGATGGGAGTCAGGTGCCCCTCTCTGTCAGCCTGGCAGGCAAAGCCATGACTGCCCTGTGGCCTCCCCCCAAGTGCCATGCCAGTCTTGGTGCCACTTGTCCACTGTCACAGCTCAGACCCTTCTTCCTCTGCTCCTTCTCCTCTGTACACCATCTGTCCCTTTACAAGGGCAGGAGCTGTCTACAGGTGAATGACCTGCAGGCCAAAACCCTTCTGATGCTCAGGTATGAAAGGCTGACAGGCACCAAGATGCATAGTAGTAATGTAATGCTCACTTTCCAGTAGTCCGTGAGCACTTGATATTATATTGTGCCAAACTAGCATCACTCGTGACTCTCTGCAAGGTCACAGCATCACAGAATGTCCCTGACTGGAAGAGACCTCCAAGATCATCCAGTCCAGCCTTAGACCTAGCAGCACAAACTCACCGCTAAATCGTATCCTTAAGCACCAGGTCCACATGCCATTTAAATGCCTCCAGAGATGGTGACTCCACCACCGCCCTGGGCAGCCTATTCCAATGCCTGGCAACCCTTTCAGTAAAGAAATGTTTCCTGGTCCTTGAACACTAGGCTTGTTGCTCAGGCCACTAACTTCCAGCTCCTTTCTTGTAAAGTCTCTTTGTCCCTAGCTAATGAAAGTTAACATCAGTCATGTGATACAGTGTCTGGTCAGAATATTAAGGTGCTTCACCTGTTTCATCTCTGATACAAGAAGACACTTTAATTTGATAAAGGATTAGGGTAAGCGCAGTGGGAAGATAAAAATCGGACTTGCCTTCAGTGCTGAAGATTTATTAGGTATCTTATAAAATAATATTGTTTTCAAGAAAATGAACAATTCAGTGGTGTGTAGGCTTTCTATACTCTCCTAGTAAGTCATTCTAATGAAAAGATTAAATCACAGCATTAAATTCTGTATACACATCAGTCTTACTCTCCACTAAAGCAATTTCTATTTGAACAGGAAAATTTGTTTTAAAACATTATTTTACAAGATTCAGTATCCACATTTGCTGCAGGGCTGAGATTACAACTTTTTGTTTAGTTTTGGCATTCTGAATTTGATGTAGTAATAGGGTGGCAGAGAGTTGTGTCAGCTATCTCAAGGTGGTCTTTAAGAGACATACTGCAGGACAGAGCCCCACTGCATCATCAGTAATAAAGACACTGAAGAAGTGCCAGGTCTAATCATCATGACTTGGTGAGGATCCTTACTGGGAGCTGCTGCACGAGTGCAGTGCACTTCTGTGGTGGTAGGGGACGCTGTAAGGCTGGGAGGGAAGTAACATTAAAAAGATTTTACTGAAGGGTCTAAAGCTCTGGTGTGTGTAGAAATTTAGGTATCCTTTCTCATTGATGATGCTGGGATGTAAGAGAGCCCCTGCAGAGTGACATAAAGGGTCTAGCGCTATAGAGTGGTCCTTCCTGTCCTTGAATTGCTACAGGATTCAGATGTGGCTGTGCAGCAGTGACAGGGTGTCCTTAACAAAGTGGAGAGAAGCCAGTGTTAATAAAAGCTGTTGTATCATCAGCTGTCGTGTGTGCAAACACTTGCACTCCAGTAATGCTGCCTTTACAGTCTTCTATGTTGTGCTATTCAGCTCTGTAAGGCTTTCTTACTAGTTACATTGTGCATTATTAGCAGCTTCTTCATTGTGATGGCTGCCTTGATTGAACGTACTCTGGTACACCAAATTCCTTCAAAGTACTTGCAAATAGTGTATCTCTCTTACAAAAGCAAATGGCAGTGAAGGAGGACATCAAGAGTAGATGAACTTTGATGTGAAAAGAGGATTAGAATAACAAAGCACACACAGCCTCCAAGCTTATGTTTGACACTGAGTTGGACAGCCTGATCTGTACACAGGATGGAGGTGAAAAGTGCTTTGATTGTTCTCACCTTGCTTCAGCTGAAAAAGCCAACCTAGATAATACTGCACAGCTTTAGGAGCCAGTTACTTGTAAAGTAATGTGCCTACAGATGTCCATTATTGCTTAAGATTTTTAGTAAATACTTTGGTCTTTTAATTAAGTTATATGTGTTGTAAGAGTGAATTTGGATTCAGTGTGTTGCAGTAAACCTAATATATTACAATAACAGTTGTGGTGATTTAGGATTTAAGAGCTGTGATGACCTTTGATAGCAAGTATTTAAGAGGAAGGGGAAATAACAAAGATGCTCCTTCTCATAGGCCTCTCCCATGTCAGCTTATGGCAGCCGGTTGAGTTGAAGGGAATGGATTTGTAGTCCTTTTAAGAGAGGTGGGGAAGAGTCTAGAGAGTTGTAAAGCACAGATCTTTCATTTGTTATGTGGTGGAAATGTTGGGTAGGAAACAGTATTGAACAATTCCGGTTGGTACTTCAAAAAAATGCTTTACTTGTCAGCAGTGCTCATCACGGAGCTTTGCGCATCCCAAGCCTTTATGTTTGTCTTTATCGTAAGAAAACAGAATCTCCTAACAGTAAATTATTACTTGAAATATATCCTCAGAAATGCTGGCTCTTTCAGGTGATTGCTATTTTGAAATTTTGTTGCAGATGAATTGCTTCAGAAAGAGCAAAACTATTCTGATGACGTTTTGGCCAATATGATTAACGAACCCAGGATCAGCTATGGAAATGACGCTCTTATGCCTTCATTGACGGAAACTAAGACCACAGTTGAACTTCTTCCAGTGGATGGAGAGTTCAGCCTAGATGACCTTCAGCCATGGCATCCCTTTAATGTTGATTCTGTTCCAGCCAATACTGAAAATGAAGGTATGTACTGTACATTAGGAAGAGAAACCATAGAATATTTTGAGTTGAGGTTTGTGATTTTGTTCCCTGAAAATTGTCATTGTTCTAGTATAAGCACGGTAGGAAACTGTTGTGCCATGTCAGCTTGTCTCTTGGATGGAACAGAAAATCCTGACTAAAATTTGGATTTTAGTCACACAGTAAATGTCAGTGTTGACAATGAGCTAAGGGAGATAGATAAGTTGTTAGATTTCTGCCATGATTAAATTAATGTTTTAATTAAGGAAGAGCTTTTTATTTGCTGGCATGAAAATGGTTACAGATCCAGCACAATCCTAGCATGAAAGTTGATTTTATTTCCTTCCCACCACTGGTTGTCTGGAAGGTACTGCACAAATGTTCCTGCATATTCAGCAAAGCAACTGGCTAGTGAAGACGTTTTTCCTGAGGAGTGTTTTATGTTGCTCATGGAATAGTTTACTGAAGTGACTGCATAATGCTTTAATACTTAATATATAATCTGGAAATGTTAGTTTACTTAGTTGCCAGAGCCAATTCATCAGAAACGTGAGGGACTGTTAATCGAGTCCTTCTGCTGTGTTTGTTTTCCTTTACCAGTTCAACTCCACCTCTATTACTGAGAAGTTAATCACAATCACGAAAGTTTATTACTTCAAAACAGCAGTAGATTCACGGACTGGAGCTACTAAAGTCTTTTTTCAGGCAAATTTGTGGATTTGTGATTTGTAGTTGAAATGCATAGCTATTAACATCCTCCAGGAGTCTTTTGAAGCCACTGGCTTAGGGTGTACCTGCTGTCAGAATGAGTTTTGAGACCAACCTTATGCATTTAGTCTCATTCCAGCGCAATGTCAGAGTGACTGTGGGCAGCTGGGGGCTTGGGAGATGAATCATGGGATGTGTGCATGGATTTGCCAGAACTTGTGTTTAGTGCCAGGTGAAATCAGTGGAGTCAGAGCTAGTTTTGTGATCAAAGTGTGTCATCTCCAGAAGACAGAGAAGCCACGGTCAGGCACAACAGAAGACATGGCTAGGAACTGAGCAAAAGTCAACAAATCAGTGAGGCAGAAGGATAACGTGCTTGAGAGGAAAGGGAGAGGCTGGTCAGGAGTGGTGCTAAAATCAGACCACCAGGGAGTTAGCCCTGCAGGTAGGGACTCAGAAAAAGAGCAGAGGGAGATGGAACAAACTTAACAGACTGGCCAGCAGCAAGAACCAGAAGACAGAAGATGGTGACAAGGACTCCAGACGTGTCTGGAGGGCACTTGCAGCCAAGTGATGTGCTGAGCAGCTGCGAGCAGCTGGCTGGATTGCGTCAGGTGCTGCGAGTAATACAAATGGCTGACCAGGCTGGCAGGCTGAACTTCAATTTCCTGGGGAATCAGCTGCACCTCACTGTAAGACACATGCCAAGGCTGTCTGCCAGGAGCAGGCCACAGTCCAGCTGGTGGTGTCTGTCCTGCAGGAATTTTCTGGTTCAGCTCTTGCTGCAGTTTTTCCCAAAACTGAGGCATACAGGGTGTCAATTTCTATACCCACTGCCCACTTTCATTAAATTTGTGGGGGCTGGGGATAGAAATTATTTACTTTTGAAGTCTGTCCTCCCAACTTCCCTAATATACTGATTTCAGTCACCAAGTTCAGAAGTTACCAGGTAGACAGGTGCACCAGACATACCCAGTTTTTAATCACACAACCCTTTTTGTCCTTCAGAAACCTTCCTAAGTCCAGAATTTAATAATGAAAAATACATACAGTGTGACACTGAATTCTCATAGGCATGTATATTGACCATAGTTCTCCTTTTAGAACGTGTGACAGAATATAAGACACAAAAACTGTCCTGCCTTGAGTAACATACTCTTTCCTTATTAACTCTGTGTACCTTAACGCACTTAATGTTTACTGTGAGAGCATCTTCTAACTTCCATGCTTTTAAATTTTTGGGGTTTAGGGTGTTTTTTTGATACCAGAATTATATTTGTCATGAAGTTACTGCAGCAAACAATTCTGCCAGGCCAACCATTATTAAGATTTAGGTCTCCACAGCACCATTGCAGTATTAGTGACAGTCAGCATCTCTTGCTCCTGGGAGGTGCTGAGCATTACAGTGAAAGTCAGAGAACTGAGCATCTGAGTTCCTGTTTACTTGGATGAGGGCTGAGGGTACTCAGGACCATCAAGAACATCATAGCATGTTTCATGTGAACAGCCTGGAATCTGAGAAATCTGCAGAGTGGTTTGTCCAGCAGGTTTAGCAGGGACTGCCACAGGAGTTTTAGGTGGCAAGCAAGTTACAAGTTCAGTTGTTATTACTGTTTTGGTCTAGTTTGAAAGCTGAAGTCAACTTTTTGAAAACCGCTGAACACAAATCCGGAGTGCTGTCAGCTCAGAATATGCAGGAGGGTTTCTAGGTAGAATAAGAGTCTTAACTTCCTCACTGCAAAGAGCTGCAGCACTGTATAAGCAACAGTATTCTTCAGTCCTGAGCAGATACACCAAGTAAATAATTTATCTCATTGCAGTTTGCACTATTGTAAAAAAAAAAAATTTCTAATGAGACCTCCCATCATCTGAGAGGCACCTGAACAGATCCTGAAGTTGGCTGGGTTAGGACCTGGAATCACACCCCCTCCAGCAGTTGCAGCAGCAGGACTTTGAACTAATGAACCATTCAAGGAATGCTTAGACCACAGTGTTATTGTGGACATTAAGTCTTTGTTTTAAAGTATCTAGTATTCTGCATACAAGCAATACAGTTAAAATACTACCAAAAAATACCTTAAATTTGTTATTAGTTCCCATGCCTGTTTTCTTCTGTGGCCATGATCTAATCTCAGGTTTCATCCAGATATATGAATAATGGATTGGATTGTTGCATTGCCAAGTAATCTCAAGGTTTTGTATCTCCACTGGAAATTTTCCCAAGCCAAATTACATGTTTAAGTAAAAGTACACATTTTATGCAAACAGTTTGTTTTACTAAAATTGCTTTTTATGATGAAATAGGCTAAAATAATAAGACCTTGAAAGCCTTGCATAGCTCAGTAGTTTCTGAAAGTATTTTCTTCCTTGTTTCCCTGAGGCAGTTTTCCAGTAAATGTCCACTGAAATTAATCCAGGTAATAGATAGCACATGTTGCATGACTGAACGTATGTCTAGTGTATTGAGATACAAATTAGGTTAACAAAAAATACCCTCTGAGGACATTGCAGAAGGCACCACCAAATTGTCGGGAAATTGTATTTTAACAGTGGAAACTGCACCTTCAGAGATGGGGGCAAAACCCCAACATCTGTAAAGCTCTTGATACTGCCAAAGTCTGTGGGCATTTTGCCAGTGACTAACTGGGTTTAATGTTTTACCCTTGATGTTTTACCATGCAGTTACAGTTTAATGTTTTACCCTTGGTATTTTACCATGCAGTTACAGTTAGCCTCAGTAACAGAGTATTTCTCTAAGGCAAGATTTATGTGAATGTAAGGAGTTATCCTTATTACTTGGCCAGTTACTCCCTTCAAAGCTGTTCTTGTTAGGTGGCCATCACATAGCTCTCCACCCCTGCTGGTTTGTACCAGCTTTTGAGCTTTTTGATTCACCTTTTTTATATTTTTTAAAAAAGAAACAACCACATTATCTTGCTTTTCTGAGATGTATTAGCATTTGGGTTTAATGTTTTACCCTTGATGTTTTACCATGCAGTTACAGCTTAATGTTTTACCCTTGGTATTTTACCATGCAGTTACAGTTTAATGTTTTACCCTTGGTATTTTACCATGCAGTTACAGTTAGCCTCAGTAACAGAGTATTTCTCTAAGGCAAGATTTATGTGAATGTAAGGAGTTATCCTTATTACTTGGCCAGTTACTCCCTTCAAAGCTGTTCTTGTTAGGTGGCCATCACATAGCTCTCCACCCCTGCTGGTTTGTACCAGCTTTTGAGCTTTTTGATTCACCTTTTTTATATTTTTTAAAAAAGAAACAACCACATTATCTTGCTTTTCTGAGATGTATTAGCATTAGATATGAGGTGGGCTGTATACCCCTAACAAGCCTGTGCAGTCAGCAGAAGCAGGTATATACCAGGTTAGTTTCATGAGGCTATTTGGAAAATAAATTTTCGGCCTTAATTCTGGGTATTTCTGTGAACGTGGAAATGTGTTCAAGAGAAAAATTATTCCGGAGTATCAAAATTAATGCAAATTCTATAATAATATGCAGTATGTCATAAAGTTTTGATTATTGCTAAATGCTGTCATAGGTTTAAACTTCTTGCATCTATATCAACTGTTGTGAGGTGATGTGGTCCAGTGAGGCAGGCAGGGAGACAGCCCACGGACAGAATTTTTCGGAGTTAACTGCTGTTTGTGCATACATAATACTAGGCCAAGAGAAAGCAGGTTTTAAAATTAACTGGAATTCAAAAGGTGGCAGCTCAGGGCTCTCCAGAAACCAGCCTTAGGCTGCACTTCAGCACCTGGAATCACGATCTGCTTTGGAAGACCCTTGGCTCTAAGCTTTTGGCTCCAGTTTTTGCCCTGCAAATTGTTTGTGACCTTGAGAAAGTAATTTCACTTTTGTGTCAGTTTTGAAACATGATGGTGATGTTTGCCTTTTCGCTTGTTAGCACGCTTCCAAAACTTGAGGTAAGAATTATTAATTAATAATTTCAGCTAATTCCACAAATAATGTATTGCCTTGAGATCATGTCTGTGCTACTGTACAACAGAAACTTCCTCCATTCTTTTCTTCCTTCACCTACTCCCATCTTTTATTGCTACCCACAGCCTACTCCCTCATTTTGCCATAGCTATGGACATGTAGGGTTACAGAGTGCTGAGCTAGAGGGAAGTAAAACCCCTCAGCCTTCTAGGGAGAAGACAGAGGCAGGTAATGTTGGTCCTTGGTTGTTTCTTCCCTGCAGTCCTTTCCACTGAAAATGACTGCTGACCTACCTGAGGGTCAATGCTGAGAATATTGAAAAACCTAGCAGATAACTT